TATGTGTATATATAAATAAGTATTTAATCCTTTAATTCAATTAATCTGACTAATGCATGTAAACTTGAAATTAATCATTAGGTTAAGGGTGATCGGTTGAAATTCTTCGTACCCAAGCATAATTCATATCTCAATGAGGTCAGTACTACATCCCTCGAGTCGATAATGATATTTTGTTTGTATACTCTATGTATAGTGAGTGTGACTCCTGTAGAAGATATTTCTAGTAATTAGAAACAGAAATATCATATGAACTAATAACAAAGCTCTATTAGATAGGATGATGATTCAGATACACAAAAGAAAGAGGATGCAATTATATATAGTACACATTATAATTTCATTCCGAGCCTCGATACCATCCCCTCTCAAAAAAAAAAAAAAAAAAAAAAGCAGAAGGAGTATACCGTTCCCTAGCTAATTGGTCTTCTAGACAAAAACGCTATTAAGGATTCCTATTTTCTATACTAGCTTCTTCATCAGACAAGCTCTCATGATATTCAACCAACAAGTAGTAACATCTAAAGATATATTAAAGCAAAACTAAGAAAATTTTTTTGTGTTCACACTGTGTGTTAACACTGTGTGTTCATACTTGTTCACACTTATAAATTATACAATTTATATTTTTTGAATCCTTAAATTGGATCAGAACTGGATTGAAATCAAATAAAAAATATTTCCTTTCACACTATATCAAATTTAAAAATAGAGTGTAAACACAATTAATTAATATCATAATATAATAATACTCATTATACCATTATATTATTTTTTTTTCTTAAATTCAATCAATCAATTTAATTTAATTTAATTCAATTATATTATTCATTTTCCTAAATTCTTATTAAAAAAATATTCATTAACTTATATTTGTGTATATATGTAACTGAATTGAAAAAAAAAAGTTTTTTACTTATTTATTTCCCTTTTCATTTTTACCTGTACCATTTTTTACCAAACAGTTTAAATCTCATCTTTTCCGCTTCTCCACCACAAACTGAAACCCTATCTTCCTCATTGCTACCGAATCTCCTTCCTCACCAAAGCCATGGCCATCATCGATCTTCATCATCTTCTCTCCTTCATTGCTGCCGAACCCCTTCCTCACCAAAGCCATGACCCTATCTTCCTCATTGCTGCCGAATCTCCTTCCACTCCGGCCATAGTAATAGGCTTCGCCGGAGTACCGGCTTCTTCACCCGGATTCCATTCAAATCTAGGAATATGAAAACTGCTTCGTCCTCCCTGTCACGCTCTTTCCCCCTCCTCTCACTCACTCTATGTACTTTTTTTTGTCTCTCTTTATTCCACTTTTTCATCAGTACTGGGCGATGTTGGGTCCTATTTTGCGTCTTTGATAATCGAAAACGAAGCTACCTCCAAACCACTGTACTGGAAAGTTACCAACCCCACTCTACTGCCTTCTCATCTCCAAGGTCAGTCTTTGCAGTTCACTTTGATGATTGAATGTTTTGAAACATAAACTCAGATTCGAAATTCTGGAGACCCTTGATTATTTTTTAAAGTTCTTTTAATACCTAATAAAACGGTGTTTACTTGGAGTTCAGTTTGCTCTTTTTCCTGTGTGTAGATTTGCCTGGTTTCACTCAAAGTGTTTACGAAAGGGACCACGCAATAATTACACCGGAGAGTCATGTATTCAGTCCTCTACCTGAATGGTGCTTGAAAGTTTCCATTTTGATTTATTTGGAATGTTGGGCATTTTTTTTTTTTTTTTGTGGTATGGTGATCTTAATTTATATGGCAGGACTAAAACATTGGAAGCATATTTAATCACACTGGAAATGGGTGCACACTTTGTGATGTACCTGGCCAAAATGCAGGGTCTAATCCTATTTGAGTAGTTAGTTGTATATGCTTCATTTTGCTTTCAGATATCTGTGTAGCAGCTGATGCAACCTTTTAATTTCATTACTGCTCATGCGTGTCTAATATGATTGTTTCTAGTTTGACAATATTATTATGTGGTTTTGTATTATTTTCTGGTTCATTTATAATTAGGACTTATTCTTGCAAGGTATTGCATTTTTGCATCAGAAATAGATCTTAGACTTCTTCTTGTTGATACTTAGGTCAGAGATTTGCCTCAATATCACGTTGTTGAGTTGAATTTTTTTGTCTTTTCCTTTTTCTTCTTCTTGAATTTTTTTTTCTAAATTTTTCTACTAATGCGATCGACATTTTTTTGTTCTTTGTAGATTTTGATTGCGAGGACTTGTAATTGCCTATATTCTCTGTTGCAGCAGTGACAACGCGATATTGAATTTAGAGAGTCTGCAAGTGAACAACGACAAAGGTATTTTCTATTTTATGTTATTTATTTGCTCAATGGGGGGGGGAGTGGTTCTATTTTTGATATTTCTACATCTTAACATGGTATTAGCATTTGATGTTAAATGCTATTATTAAATGAACATTGAAGTGGAGTGACTATTTTCTAAAATAATTTTCTGGTTGGATATCCTTTGTGTAGATTACTATCAGATATATCAAGATTAGAGGCAAAGGTTGAGAGGCTTGAGTCATAGTTGCAAACTAAAGATAGAGAAATAGCAACAATTACGAGAACGGTTGGAATCTCTTGGTTTTGTTAAGTGAGATTCTTTTTAGTTGACATTCGTGTTCGAATTAAGGACCACTTGTTAAAATAAATGTGATTAGGAAGCCAAAAATACACCAGCTTTTAAGGTGCAAATTGAGAAGCTACAACAGGAAAGGGATGGGTTTCAGAGGATGGTGATTGGTAATCAGGTAAGCAAATTTTTTAACTTGGAAGTATGATTGCTTTATTTCTGTGGCTAATTGTAAACAATGTATTGGTACTAACTATTGTTAATTATGTGTCGATTCTAAAAAGGCAAGTGAGAACCCAGCAGATACATGAAATGAAGAAAAAAGAGGGGTACATAAAGTTGCAAGTAGGATCTTTTCTCCATGGTTTTTGAAAACTAAAAAAGAATCTGTTCTGATTATGATTAGAGAATCGGATCATACAGTTTTGATGATGTGAGTGTTTCTCTTGCGGGAGAGGCTTAACCAAGTTCTGATGGAGAAGAAGAAGGAATCAAGATCAGGAATGGAGATAATGAACTTGCTTCAGGTATTTATTTGACTACCAGTAGTGGTAATGGTGAAGCAGTTTAATTCTGATAAGCTAATTGGTTTTATAACTTGTGAAAACAGAAAAAAGGGCGGTAGCGTGGGACTTGGAATGGGAAGAAGGATGATAACGATTTCTATAAAAAGATTCTATGAAGAAGCTTGTTGTCTCAATGTCTGGTGAAATTATGTTTGACATTCCACTATCTGTAGGTGGATGCTTATGAGGCAAAAAATCAAGAACTGATGGCTGAGAATGCTGACTTAAGAGCGTTGTTAAGGTCAATACAGGCATGTTAACCATTCTATAACTTATGGATATATTTCACATAATTGATGGATCTGCTTATGTTTTCTTTGTGCCATTGGCTGATGTTGGAATTCATTTTATTGCCCTTAGACTTGATAATGGATAGGTATAGCAGATTTACTGCATATGGCCAATCAAAGGTAGCTAATGTTTTGCATGCTAATGAACTTGAAAGATGTCTTAAGGTATGTTAATGCATTATTATTAGCATAAAAGATGGAAGATACTATGGTGTAAGTTCATCGCATACAGGTTGCAAATGGAATTATTGATTTTTTGTTTGCAAAAGGCTTTATAGATACTAAATCTTTGCTTCTGACTTTGCCCCTTATTAGTTTTTATTTCAAACTTTTTTTCCTGTGACCTTTCATGTTTTAGTTTGGCATAGCAAGTGCAGTAGAGATTGTAATTTTTCTTATCATTTAGTTTCCATTGGCATTATCTCCCCTGGTGCCTAAAAATGTGAACTTTTCAGAAACCTAGCAAGTTTTCCAACATGCATGATGGGTTTAAATATTTCATTTACAAGGAATTTTTGAAGTAGATTATTTGGAGATTGGCTTGGATATCACACGTTACTAGACTATAATTGTGTTACCCTGCTGTAAGCCTGCTCATGCATTTGTAGCTATGTTACATAAACTCTGGAATCAGGACCAAGTGTCTGATATTGATTTCCTTAAATAATGCAGCCTTTAATCCTTTTTAATTTTGTGTAATAGGTCACCTCTATTTTTATTAGAAGAACCTGTTACATTGTTTTCTAAGCACCTGGTTATCAAAACATATATTTCTTTAGGTTGCTAGCCATATCAGTTAAGCATTACAATATTTACTGAGCAGTAAGATTTTATGCTACAAAGATTGTACTTTCTAAAGTGGACCTCCTTAGATGTTTATTATTTTATGGAGTTCTCATCAGCTTATGTTTTTATGTAACTTAAGAGTGTGGTTCACCTTTGTCAGTAGAGATCACAATGATGCTAATCTGACATTAGTTTTATTACATGTGATCTTTTAGGTTTTGCTATGCTTTTCTTTACATAATTTGTACACTTACAGGTAAATTCCCTTTGAATGGGGATGTCTCTTTTAAATGGTCTTGCTGTACTTCAACTGTATTGTTGATAGCATCAAATTTAGATGTTTCTGTGCTTGTGAAAATATACATAATGCTATTTCTGTCACAGTTATGCTCTCTCTCTCTCTCTGTCTTCACTGTGGTAGTTTGAAATTGCTATGTAAGATGCGCATGATGTTTTTTTCTTTGAGCAGGAAGAGGGAGTAGATATAACTGCAAATTCACTTCATCTAGGATTAGTTGTCACCAATATTGCTCGTCATTATTTGGGCATCTTTAATGGTAATTATTTAAGTGTTTGATGTTATGATTGGGATTTCTCCAGTGTGGCGCATCATGTTTTCTTTCCTGATCCAAGGAAGCGATATGGATATTGCTACCTTGTACATAAAGCATGCAAATCACTCTACTTCCTTTGTCTTGCTACAGGCCTTTTTCATGAGATTGGTAAATTTGTATTGAAGAGTTGGGAACCCTCTTGAATTCTTCAAACCCTAGCATTCTGCAGCTCTCATGAACTCTCAACTTCCTTTCCTCTTTACCATTTGGTGACAAAGAGGGAAATGGCAAGATGAACTTAGTTCTCCACTAAGTTGCAAGATAATCCATTTGAAGTGCGAACAACTCTTGGTGGAATGTAACTTTTCTCAAGTGTTCTTGGCAATTACATGCCAATAGACATGTATACACTTCTTTTACTGTTAAAAAGTTACCAACTTTTTTAAGTTAAGGCACTCAAGTTTAAAGAAATTTATAGTTAAGTATACAGGGTTGTAAAGACTTTAAATTAAGGACATATGTTTGTTTAAACCTTCAATTAAAGATAGGGTTGTTTCATATGATTATTACTAATTTGTTTTAAATCTCTCAGAATATGTTAATTGAGTCATTCATTCACTCGATTTTATATTATTTGATGTAATACAAGAAAAAATAAAGTTGTTGGTAATAGACGAAAGTCTTCTATTTTGCAAAGGAATAAAAATCCAAATAGGTTCTCACAAACGTCAGTAATTCATAATTCAAGTAATTCAAGTATAAATGGCTTTACAGGTATAATGCTAGACTCATTCATTTAAAGTTTAAGTTATATATGTTTTGTTTACTTTTTTTTTTTTTCCATCATATATTAACAAGTTGTTATTTGGAAAGGGAATACTGATATTTTGTTTCCAATCTCTGATGGTGAATTTGTTTTCTGATTTGTTTTTATTATTCTTTTATTGACATGACATTCCAATCTTATTAACTATGCATATTTATTGATAATGGTACCATACTTTGCTTTAAAATTCTTTTGTCTCTAATTTCAAAGATTGGACTTCCCTTGGATTTATGGTTTTTTGTTTAGATTGTAACTCAAACAAATTGTTTGTAGGTTACTTAGATATTGGGGACCCTATATACAAATGCAAGTATTGTGGTGCATTAATGTGGTATGATGAGCAAACTAAGAAACTGATTTAGCTGGTTTTTGGAGTAAATATTTGTTCTTTATAACTCTTCCATGTTTTTTTTCCAAGTTTCTTCCATGTGCAGATACATCGATTTCTTTCTTTAGACTATTTTTGTTTATTCATTTTTATTTTTCAGGTTTAGATACATAAATTTAAGGTCTAGATATATGTTCAGTCAAGGGAATAAGGAAGCAAGGAGAAAGAGTGGAGGTGGCAGAAGAGAACTTTAGTAATAAAAGGATAAGCATAATACCTTTCGTTTTTACTATAACAGTTGTTATTGTAAATAAAAGGTTGACTTGTGATATGTAAAATGAAAAAAATAAAAAAACTAATAGATCTCATATAGATATTGTTCTTTTCTCTTTGATTGTGTCTAAGCAAGTGTGTTGAAGTCCATATAAAACATTTTCATCTGCTCATACCTTTTATATGATTAAACAAACTTATTTAAAAAATGAGAATTTTTTTAGGCATAATGGTATGGAAAGAAATCATGCTAGCAGAAGGGTTTTTAGATATAACTATCTTAATTCAATACTAAATTTTAGTTTTTATTTCATAATAGTTTTATAAACATATTTGAGGTACTCTTTGCACCTCTTTAATAAAATTTTCTTCGCTAATTAAAAAAATATTACTAATTTTATATAACATCATATATGTATTTTAATAATATTTTATTAATTACCTTTTATTAATATATTAGTTTACATTAAAATTTTAAATATATATTTTTTTCATTTCACGGCCCGGCGATGGCCGGGGTATTAACTAGTAGTTTTAAAAGCTGATCCGCTAGGCGGGGAATGCCTGGGTTACGCCCATCATTATACTTGTGAGTATTGTACGCAATTCTCCATATGTCGTGTCTGAAAATATTTCAATCCTTGTATTTCATCCTCCTCACCTTGTCCCTGATTGTGAACAGATCCATTGGGTGGTCTATAAATGTCCAGGTAGTCAGGACTCAGGAGCCTCCTTCTTGGATACTGGTTTCAGGAATAGGTAGGACACCATAATATCTGCTTTGAGGGGTTCAACAATGCGCTCTAAGACATTTTCCGAACCAACCTGCAAGCAAATTTACTTAAGTTTACAAATAAACACAAGTGACATGATATAATTTCGAATATGCCTTCCTACTTACATTTGCCAAACCAGCCTGTGAGCAAATTTACATAGGTTCACAGATAAGAACAAGTGATATCATATAAATTTCAAACATGCTTCCTACTTAGTAGCTAAAGCTGAAGAACTGCACTCACCTAGGAAAGAATATCATAGCCTTCTTTCTATTTATTTTTTGTTTTTTAACTTTTCCCCCCTTATTTCTTCCCTCTCATGAGGAAAACCCCAATCTCTCAAGACCTTACAGACCAGCAATGAGTACAACAGTGTGTCAACGTTTCAAAATGATATCTAAAATGAATAATATGCAAAGGATATTGATAATGAGAAAGTATTACCTCTCCACCTTTACGTCGCTTTGCTGGAAGACCATAATCTGCACCATACCGTCGTTTTCCACATAGATCTCTTTCTGGCATCCTCCTTTCATTTTTAATTGACATGTAGTCCTCTGAACAGTCTTCTTTTATTTCAACCTTTTTCTTCTCTTTCTTAGCTTTCTGGTGCTCCTCTTCCTCCCTCTCTCTTTGAATAAATTTTTCATATCTTTTGATTTCTGCAAATTTTTCTTGCTCTTCTTCTAGCATTCTCCTGTTCTCTACCCCCTCCGGCCACCATCTCCCCTCTCTTGCTTGCCGCTTTACTGACTCCTCAGTCGATTGCAAAATCCCCTGCTTCTCATGCATCTCAAAACTTGACAATTCAACTACTTTCTTTGTTTTCCTCTGTTCGGGATGATTGCTTCCATCATGACCAAATGTATCCAGATCCAATAATTTCTTCTGGTAGCTTGATAATAATTTTCTTATAATACTTTTCTCTATCTTTATCTGTCAGAGGACGAACCACAGTTGAGTGTTTATGAAGGTTAACTTGGTCTCACTCTGTATTTGCCAGTGACTGTATAACAACAGAATGCTTACTAGATTCACCTTTGCCACTATCAATATCCATTGGAGACTGTATAATAATAGAGCTCTTATTAGACTCAACCTGCATTTCATCAGGCTTCATGCTATTGAAAATTTTAATTCTACTAACCTTGGAGACAGATTTATCCCCAGTTCCAAAATCAGAAAGACAGGATGGTCAGAACTCTCTGTGACTCCCAGAGAAAGTTTACCAGACTGCTTATCATTAGAACATTTGAACTTCACAATTTTTATATCAGAATTAGACTTTTCTCCCTCAGGAGCTTCTGCCACAGCAATCTCTGTTGCACTTTTATTTACGAGCTGCTTCTTCAAAGTTTTCAGATGGGACTGACTAGATGGATCCAATAAATAGGGTATCTAGAAGCCTTTTGCTCTGTAGCTTCAGCATGTGATTCTGAATCTTCTCCATACTTGGGGCAGTTTTTGTTGGTTCTCATGTGTCCAAGCTGATTGATAAAAAGCAAGCATTAGAATCAATCATAGTTTCAAAACAGCAAGATAATTATGTGTTAGCTTGATAAGTTGTGCACCTGACCACAAGCACCACAGACAAAGTGCTCCCTTGACGATTTCTTCTCCTTAAACACATCTGGTTATGACAGGAGAGTAAATAAAATTAGTTTTGGGAAAAAAAAGAAAAATGCTGAATTGATTTTTTTTTTTTCAAGTATAACATGTACAGCAAATACAGTTAAATTCTGCATAGCAGCAGAAATAAAAAGGATTAAACTAGAATGCTGCAAGATAATATGGACCAAATCCTGCAAAGTTCTTAGGTGGACCAAATAATGGGAAGAAGACTCACTAAGGTAATTCTTATAAACCATGAAATTATAATGAACCAGATCTTCTGTAGATATCATGTCAGTACAACCAAGTCAATGGCCCTCTATAACACACTCCTTCGGTTCTCTAACAGAAGAGAAAAGAAGTAAAATTCTTAAAAGAAAATTTACTTCAAGGGAACTCATGGCCATAAATTAGTCAGAGAGAAGAACACCAATAATAATTTCTAGTGGAAATTGCAGCATAGTAGGTTGCAAAAGTTACAAGAAAAGCTTTGAAGTCATGTAGAAGGCAGTCACCCTCCAATCCAATACAAATGCCAGACAGTGGTGATAGTAATGAGAAAATGATGCAAATGAATGCAAGTGGCAAACCATCAGAGATAGGAAGAGAGGTAATTTGGCTAGGAACCCAGTGATGGGAAAGTGATGCAGACGAATATAGGCTCACTTGCCTTGGGATTATCTCCCAATATTTTGATTTTTGTTTGTTGACAGCTGCTTGATGTACCCTTCAATTTTATTCCTTTAACCTTTCCAAAAATTGTACTTTCCACCTGCCATCAAAATACACTGAAGTTACAGTGTGTAGATATACATATAAAAGACTATAAACCACAAGCATCTTGGACCACAAGGACAAGTTACATATAAAGGCACTACATAACCTCTGCAAGGATTATACCCATATAGGTAACAAAACATAAAATTACAAAACACATAATTAAGACAATTCTTACAATGGCCAAATCTAGGATAGTGTTTTCCTTTGTAGCAGACCTGCTAGGTTGAACGACACTGATGACTTGCTTGGGTCTTGGATTTGCTTTCTTAATCTGTTTCACTGTCTCAGCACCAGCACTTGATTGAGAACCAAAAGCAAATACCATATCCCATGTCATGGGATTGTTTTTCTTCTTCTTTTGCTCAGCCTCAACATCTGTAAAAATTCATCATGGTCAACCATGTGAAATAAAGAAACATTTTAGTTAACTAGTTATTATACACAAGCAAATGAAAGATATAACAAGTCTTCATTTTTCCATTTTTTCTTATTACTAAAATAGTCATCTCGTTTTTATTAACTCAAAGATAAGTTGCCATGGGAAGAAGAAGTCAAATTTCATGATTCTAGGTTATTTTTATACACAAAGAAAAACGTTTCAAGCTGAGAATTTCCAATTGCTGCATATATGGAAAAGCATGGAATCCATTTTTGTAAAATTTATTTCCATCGAACATAAGAAAAATATTTATGATGTTTGTTAACATATTTTCACTCTTAATTAATTCAGGAGTTCCCATATGTAAATGCACATACCTAGCAAATAATATGTAACAATCTGCAATGCAATGCATGTCAATATAAACTTAACAGAATGAGGTGGAAAACAAAATAGTTCATACCATTCATGAGCAAACAGCATAATTCAGCACCTTCATCAGCTCCATCTTCTATTTCCTCTTCTGCCTGATCTTTTAAAGGACACCTTCTCAACTTAAGCCCCTCAACACCGTCAGCTCGGTCATACTTGGACTCATTGTTACCTTCTTCCTCATCTCCACATTCCTCTGCATCAAGCAAAATTTCTAGGTCTCCAGCAAAGGAATCCAGATCACCATTTGCTCCAGAATCACTTTCATTTTCTTCACCATCAACAGCTGAGAGAGACTGAACTTGATGATCCCATATTTCCTGACACTTCTCTCTGGTCTGTTGCTGCAACTGCAGAAAGGACATGCGCCGTTCACATGCATACTTGCTGTTGCTGATAGTTGTTGGATCAACTTTGATACCTGATGCAGCTTGATCACTTGAGAGCTTGTGTATCATAGCAATGCAGTGGCATCTAGTTTGTTTTGCTGTCACATCATCAGGGACATTGAACTTCAGAAGAACCTGGATACCAGATTGAGTTAAGAGATTACAACCATGGAAGACATGAACCTGGATACCAGGTCTAAACATGTTTCTTATGTGTTTGACATGTAATTTCTAATTTTCTATGTAGTGCTCTTGGTCATAGTAAGATAACTCACCATCTCATAACAAAGTTCTAGCCAAGATTACTAGATGACGAAGAAATTTACCATCAGACTAATTTATAACAACTCGATTTATTAGCAAGAAAACAAGGTACCTCACGTGCAGCTCCATGCCCAATCTGCGGATTGGCATCTGTCCCAATGACAGTTGTAGAACCCCCATGAGCTGCAGCTGTTTTTTTCTTCATGATTGTGCTTGACATTGGTGCCCTGAACTGATGGATCACCAACACCAGTTATTTCCAGGTGCTCGATATTTTCTCTGTCATGGAAAAGAATTGGAGGGAAAAAATGAATGATCAAATAAAATAAATAGAGGTTAAAAGTAAAATTAATCAAACAGCATACTAGTCCTAGTGAAAGTGTTGTTGTCAACTTCATAGTATAAAGCATCGACATAACAAACCGTTTGTTTCTTTTTTTACCTACTTTTCTGGATAACATAACAATTTGTCTTACCTGATTTGTACGCGCAACAAAATTGCTACTACTGAGGTTCCATGGAGTTATCAGCAGTTCCCTCTCAACGTGTGATGCGACAGCCAACACTATAGCTTCATCAGGGAGCTGACTCATTGCAGACGAAACACTGGTAGGATGTGTTAATCGTGTAATTCCTAAATGTTTAAGATGGTACAAACCAGCTTCCATACTTTCAAAGGCACAGACCTGAAAACAAAGAGAAAAGTAAATTGCGCAAGATATAAACATGGCAAACAATTACTAAATTACTACCAATCCAACCACAGTAGCATTCTCCACGATAGCAGCGACTTGGTGGAAAGGCAACTTTCGGGTTCAGTTTGATAACCAACTATAAAAGCAGGTTTGCTTTCGCTTTAGAAGGGACTGAAAATATAAGCTTTTTATTCTGAAAATACACATAATAAAAGGTTCAAAGCTATGGGGACCATGGTGATATACCAATTTATTTATATCTCCAATCATCTTCCATTACTTCTTATTAATCAAAGTACTATAATCATGTGCACCATATCCTCCCTCTAACTCTGCTAATTACCCTTGTTACTTGATTTATGAAATGACCCTAAAAGCAATCATAAAAGGGCATCAATAAAAGGACCTCCAAAGCCGAAGTTTCAACTAATTCACTCCACTTCCTCCAAATTTGGTACCCAGAAAACTTCCGTATGATTCAAGATAACCCCACGAAGCTGCAGCAATCTAGAGGGGGGAATGAACTTGATTTTGGAACGGCAATCCAAGCAGTGGAAAATTGAAAAGCTCAGGTACTGAAAATTGGATGGAAGAACAGAGAAGAAGACGTTGTAGGTGGGAGGGGGAAGGGGTATTTAAAAGGGAGCTGTGTCGGGTACAATCCATGCAATTCGGTTGACCCGGTAGAATACGATCCGAATTCCAACTGAACATGTTTTCTGGACCCAGTGGCCCATTGCGGAAGGAAGTAATAGGAATAGCTGTTTATGGTTGGATTGGGCCGTAGGGTTTGAGCTTTAGAATCCAACGCAATTTTTTTTCCTAGAATGCATTTCCTCTTCCTTTTTCTTCTTCATTTTTTTTTTTCGGAAGTGAAGAAACCCTGGGTTAAACCCAATTAAAAAAAATTTGAAAAAAAAAAAAAAATAGAATCAAGTTCAATTCATATTATTTTCTTGTGCAATTGCAGGTTACGAATTCAAGCTTAGAATGGAAGAGAAGGGATTTGAAACACTAGTTAGATCTTAATTTTTATTATATTGTATAATTTATCATTAGATATAAATAAAATAATACATATTATTTTTGTTAGATTAAAAAATTAACTGAAAAATTGATTTCATGACATTGATTTCATTTAGTGTATTAAAACGAAACACTATTCTTTTTCATCAATGAAACATTTTATTAGAAATCTCAAATATGTTTTTCATAATTAAACATCTCGTTTTATTTCAGGCCTCACAACAAGCCTCTCTAACATTATTTCAAGAAAATAGTATTCCTATTTTCTGGTACAAAGGTATGTGATAGCCTAACATAGGAGATTGGTTCCAGAAGAAACACCAAGCTGGGTACAGTAGCTGGTGTAGAGGTTAGCCCTGGCCTGAACCAGATCAGGTCGTTTTCCATCACATTCAACTGGACCATTGACAGCACGAGTCGTTGCACCAAACCCTTGCCCCACCACAGGACGTACTGCGGTCATCCAGTACCATAATGCAGTCTTAAATGACACAACAGGGTTAGTGGACACAGTTTCAGGTTTGTTCAGCAAATCCAGCCCCAGAGCCTTTCCGGCTGCTCCGTAGTTCACATTCCAGGTTAGCTGGAGTGGACCTCGGCCATAGTAGGACTTGCCCGGAGCACATGGGTACTTAGTAATTGATTGGCAGTATTTGTGACTCTTGTCAATCTCTTCAATGTAACAGAAAGCTGACAAAAAGGAGAATTAGTACTTTTATTTTTGTTAGATATATAGAGTGCGACCAGCCTTCCCATTGGCCTGCTGGCTAAGCAATTCGTTTAAGAATGCTTCAGTCATTGGTCATTGGTTCAAAGGTTGGTAACAGAACAGAAGACCAGAGATATTTAGAGTGCGTCCTGTTTTATAATTCGGGTGAATTATAATATTAAGATTATCAAAAGAGGAGGAGGAAGACCCAATATTAGACGCTATCCCTTTTAATAGTTTTGATTTTATAGTTCACCACAAGATAAATTATAAGATAAGTTTTTGATATACATTTATATATATATATACACATTTAAGTGAAAGGAAACGAAATTTTAAATTAAATGTTAAAAAGATGGTTAAATTTAAAATTTTAAACTATCAAATAAGAGTTGAGTTAATGAGTCAAAGTAATTTGTTATTTTGTTATTAAAATTTTATTACACTTAATTTTTTATTTAAAATGTTTAAATTTAGTTGTTTATTTTATTTTTTTAATCTCATTTAATGTATTTATTTTTATTTTACTCTTACTTTAAAAAATAATCACAACTTATATTAAACAAAAAAATATATTTAAATCATGTTTAATTAAAAATAAATATAAATTTTATCAATAAGTTATTACTTTATAAAAAAAAACTAAATCTTCTAAAAATAAGTGTGGAGCGATACTTACATCCGGTCTCATGTGAGACTTGGGCAAAGAAAGCAGCGATCTCGCGCTTGTTGTTATCGGCAGAGCCTAGTTTTCCAAAGTTAGGGAAGGAGCTGAGAGCACGGAGGAAGGCTTCCCGGGTGTAAAAGCTCTTCCCAGCACAAGTTGCCAGAGCATTGTTCTTGATGCCATTAAAGAATTGAGGTGTGACAATGCTGACCACGGACTGAGCCATCACATTCCCTGGCACCGTGGCCAAGACAATGCAGGCAAGAAGGATGGTTAGTAGAGATTTTTTGATGGAAAGGGAATCCATTTTTTGGAAGGTGTAGGAGGAATGAAGATTTTGTGGTGGATTGAGGGACTGAGATCGTGTAATATTTATAGAGCTGAGGGGGGAGGTGGTACGTAGTAGATTGATTCCATGTGAAATTAATTTGAACATGTATAGCTTTAATTTCTTGGGACGTATTGACTACGTATCATTGAAACATCACTGCTTGGGATGCTCTGTTGTCTATCTAACTTGACTTGTCAACACAAAGGATTGGTTTTTGACAAAGTCCAGCCTTTGATGTGCACAAAAAGACTGTAGTTTTTAATTTCTAGTTTAGGAAGGTTCATCTAGATTTGCAAGGTGGTGGTACAGTACGTTACTAGGATTAGGTTTTGCTGAACATTCAACCTGCGGACAGAAGATAAGAAAACGAACACTTTAATTTTTTTTTTTTTTTTGGTTCACAATACTACTTAATTATTATTTTGTATTGAGAATTTGAAAGTCACGATATTTTAAATTTAAATAAAAAATAAACCATTTCACGGAGTTAATGATTACTCCCTTTTTTCTAATTTATCTGCGGCAAAAGCATAAGTTAAGCCCCTGAACCAACCCCAGAATCGCTATTAAGCCCCTAGACTCTAATTGATGCATTTAAGCCCCTGAACTCTACAATCCGAGCAATTTTGCCCCTCCTCCCACAGTCAACTTAACTGCTGCTAACTGTCGTTCGAGGACTGCATCGTGTGGCGAAATGTGGCTGTCTCATGCCTACGTGGCAAGCGATTTTGTATCTGGTTTGCCCACCTTGATGCAAAAAAAAAAAAAAAAAAGTAAATGATTTAGGGAAACTTTTTTATCTTATTTTTTTTTGTACAATCTTAATCTTA